AATTGAGTGTCCCCATGAATATTAATTTCCTTCAAAACGCAGTAATTATACTCTAATATAGTGAGAGTATGTATAAATGTGATTAAGCAAATTTAGAGCTTGCCCATTGCATATTGGTTTCAATTGTTTCAAAAGAAATGTATATTATTATTATTTTATTATTATATTATAATATTAATATTAAATAATAGATACATAATCGTTTGTTTAAGGGTTATTTTCCATAAATATGAATATTAATAACAAAAGTGTTCATTTGTTATTTTTTCCAAACATATTTATTTTTACTATGCAATAAAGAAAGTGAAGAGTAGAAAATAATTGAACAATATAGATTTATATACTTCTTAAAATTTATCATTTAATTAAAATATAATTTATTTCAACATTCTTTCAACTCAGCTGTTCAATCGCTTCAAGATACTATGCGGGCTAATTCGCTTTCAAGAGAAAACATAGGTAACTCAGTCTCCTTCAATCGCAAGTCAAGTACGAAAATGTCTATATTGGGTGTGTTTCAAGCGCTAATAATCGTTATTGTCAATAGTTGGAAAGAAAACCTTTATACTACACCTCAACCTACATTGTATTTTCATAAAATGACCAACACAATTTTTGTCAGCAAGTCAATCAATTTTTATTTCCGCTTTTTCTTCTTACGTGTGGCAGATCACGGTCGATACGCTAGTTTGCACTGCAATTAATTGTCGGCATGAGTTTCGCAGTTTTGTGTTTGTATTGCCTTTCCGCCATAGTACGAGTTTTCAAGTAATCTGACGTCTTTTGATTGGCTTCTGGTTCGCGAGATTTTAATTTAAAGAGAGATTGATTTCATTCATTCGCGTTACTTGCTAAGTTCATCATTCCGTTATGTAGTGCATGTTTCACTCGCGAGAGATGACAATGATCTTTCGCTCCAGAACCGCACAAGAAAGTAATTGAAATAACCATTTAAAGTTTGTAAGTTATAAAGACCCGTGGTCAAATGAACTTGAAAATAATTATGAGCCGTCATAACATACATATTGCTTATATTAACAATAACGATATCGATGGCTTAGCCATCATCGTTTCTGCATCGTCGTGGAAACCACAAACACGACTTAGTCGTTAGTTGTTTGTGCTTCCAGATACAACGATGATTGATGGCTCAAGATATCGAATCTGTATTGTAATACTAATTGTGGCAATGACGACTAGATTATATTTTCATTGTAAATCCCAACGAATAAAACTCACCACAATACAATACAAACTGCACATTTAGCATGCAGACATGGAAAATACCTGTTCACATTTCTTAGAAATCTTGAAGGGCTTTAGGCAAATAAGAGCATGATTTATTCCAATTAACGAGCGAGGCTGGGGCGGGGAAAACGAGGCCCAGCCGCTGCTGCGGGAGAAGAGAAACGTCGTTAATGTCCGCGCAGAAAACAGCGCGCGTGGCGCGTGGGGGGCGGGGCAGGTGCAGCGGGCATTTCTGCATTAGCGGCGAAGGTGGCTCAGCCAACTGAGTTCTCAGAGTGTCCTGACCGGGAGGTACTAAGCATTGGCGTACTTGTCAGGGCACGCGTTTTTGACAAATAGCGTGTCAAGTAACGTCGAATTAAGTTGCTGTGTAGACAAATGATTCCCA